TTCCTGTTCTATTTGTTACAAAAGGTAACATCGAACTATCGTATAATTTTCTCATTCAAGCTATAAATGCGCCAAATGCGTTAGGAAATTTTTAAGGGTGATTCTACAGGTTAAAGTAATAATAGGAAGTCATGTAGCAAAAATTCGAAATCGGAATATTTTCCTAGTTGCAGCTCAGCAAGCTTCATTTTTTTCTTTTCATTTTTGACTTTCTTCTTCGCGGATTAAATTGAAAATCGGTACAGAGTTTTAACTGAGTCAGCTCTAACTTTATGAGAAAAAAATGTGTCTCCACGTTGCCACTAGATGATACTTTAGATGAAATCCAAATTTTATTTTCCGCATATCTTTTTTGAAACGCCGAATGTTGCATTAAGGAGTTTGCAATTTTAATCATTTGAAAATACTAGACAAAAAATGTGCTCTCGGTACGACTCGAAAAACCTCTTCGTTTAGGGAATTGGGCTCGCAGCCAATCAAGTCGTCTGGATTTAAAATGTGCCAAATTTGCCAATTTATAGTCATTTTTCTATTACTTTTCAATTTAGACTAAATTTTTGCGCTGCATTTGAATATTCTCAATACGTTTTAATTTACAGGTTTTGGAGCACAAATTTGTTTTTGTCGAAATTGAACAGAAATACAATAATTACTATAAATTGTGAAATTCGACACATTTTAAAACCAGACGACTTAATTTGCTACGATTTCAAATAAATCCAAGGGCACTGGTTTGAGAGTGATCTAAACTTTGATGTCGATTTGCTCCTAAACGAAGAGGTTTTCCGAGTCGTGTGAAGAGCACATTTTTTGTCTACTATTGTCTAATCTTAAAAATCGCTTATTCCGTATTGCGATATTTTCGGTATCAAAAAAGCTATGGGCAAAATTAATTTTGGGTTTCAGGTTAGTGCTTACTCAGCTGAAACTTTTTCAGATACATTTTTGATACATAACTTACTACTATTATTTGAGGCTGTAGAATCATCCTTAAAAACCTTTCCTGACGCATTTTGCTAAGGCATTTTGGGTTGTTCCATTTTTGTTTAATTTTTCTACACAACAATTTATACAAAGTGTTCAACATTCTTTTGAACGCTGACACGGTCTATGCTGATGGTGATGGTTATGATGATGAATTACTGTTTGTTAATGTAAATTTACTAGCACACGCTTTTATGAAGAAAACGGGATTGGCAAAGGAAGGAAAAGGCAAAGTTGTACTGTCGCAACAATAATATTTATTTGTATTAGTATTTATTTGTTTCGTAGCGCTACCCTGTACATGTTGGTGGTGTTATTATGCAAATGCGTTTTCTTGAAACTCGACTTGCTTTGCAGGAGACCGAAACCGAATGAGTTTGCCCAAGGAAGCTAGCATTATTCATGCGGAATACATTTATTATTACTATCCGAGTGAAGTGCCATTTCCTCGTAAGTGACTGAAATTCAATATGCGGGCATTTCGGAAAAATCTATTCCGTTTTTCAGTTCCCGCTCCGAAGTTCTACGTGCAAGTCAATCCAATTCAAATCGTTTTCGACCGTGATACTTGCTTGTGGTTGAACTGCTTCCTCTTAAACCTGTATCGTTCACTACTGACCACGGAAGCTAAAGATAGTGCATCAAGCTTTACATATATTGACATAAAAGTGGAGGCTATCCTTCCAAGGGTAAGGGATCAATTCGTTTCTAGCTACTTCTGCCATTGTTCGCATAAAAATAATGACGTGATTTCCAGTTGAATTTCGAAAGCACAGCAGAATATCACAACCAAAGAGATAGACCCAAATGTCTAAGCATGCAAGTGACCAGGGCTACTATCACTAATGTGAGGAGTTTGGAGCACTCGTCGAGGGCAGACTTAGGTATGGCTTGTTAAAAACCCTTACAGTCTAAGTTAGGAGAACTTTTGCAGCGAAATGCATCGACTCTTTCTCGATGGCGTCGCTCTTTTTCGGAACCGATTTTCCCAGCAAAGTCGGCGATTTTTACGTAGTCACCGAAAAGTTTCTGGACCACATTAAAGCTGCCGACAATGTAAGGCAACAGCCTCTTCATCTAGATGTCACTTCGTTGGAAAGTACGGTAAGTTGACTTAATTTAACGGGGAAGTGGGCGATAATTTTGGAGATCCCCTCGCGGAATTGGAATTTCTGGACAGGTTGGTGGATGCGCAATAAATAGAAGTCTGCCGCTTAAGAGGGATGCCAAGTATTATTTCCTGGTCTCTTCCACTCGCATAACAAAAAATATAAATCCCTCGCGATACGGAGTGGCCGCTTAAGGGTTAAAGGTTAATAAATATGAACTATACTGTGGAATTTCCAGGGTGAAGAGTTGCGAAGAGATCTGTTTTGGACTGAGGCCAAGGATGTGTGGTGTATTCTGCTGGATCCGGTGTACGGAGACTTCCTGGGCGCTCAATCCGATATTAATAAGCCTATACCCTTTCTAGACGCTGTGCCAATCACGATTTGGCTGCATGCCGCTTTTGATCCGAACAGTACAATCGGAGACAAATGTGATAAAAGCTGCACCGCAGGTACCTTCACTGTGCCTTCGCTTGGCTACCGTCTTCAGCCTGCTCTTTTTCCAGATATCCACGCCTTAGCGCACATATCGAATTTAGTCAGTGTTCAGCTGAATCATTACCAGTACTTGTTTCTTCTGAGACTGGCGGATCAGGCCACCGAATTGGTTACTTTTTTAAATATAGACTCGGACAACATATTGAAAGTAAGTGTTGGAAGGAAATTGAGTTATTGTGAGTCAACGTGTATTTTGTTGCAGACGGAGAACACTTCTTCAATGGTGATCGGTGCTATTCTTCCCCAGCTTGAAGTCACTTTTGTGATGCCTCCCCAAAGCCCAGGCAAAGAATCCTCTGGCGGGGATGGCGAATCGTTTGTTCCAGATTTTTCCAGCATAGATGATATAACAGTTGGTGAGCTGGTACTTCATAGTATCTAGTTTTGTTCACACAACGGAATGTCGGTTACCTTTATGCTGAAGTTCTTTGCGGTTGTTGTCTAGGTATTCTACGCAACAGCAATCGGTCCATACCTCAAACGGAAGCCAGTGGTCGATTCGTATCATATTCGGAAAATACGGCCATTCTATCTCAATCGCTACCCGAGCACAATGAGTCATTTTGCTTTGTGGCAGACACAAGAATTGCTGCAAATTCTGCATATGCGACGCATCAACTCACCAAGAGCAAACAGCAGAAAAACCCTCTACACAACAACATTAACGTTGGTAGGTATGATTGATTGAGCATTTAAGGTGATTTTGATTCGGGCTTTTCTTGCAGGTCTGTCCGCAGTAAAGAAAGGTTTTAGCGGTTTAATGTCGTCGATCGACAGTGCCTTGAAGCAAAGCCCCGATGATATCTCAGACTCAATATCTGTGAGAAGTGATGTATCCAGTGACTCGGAGCAAATCGTCATGATCAATTTCGAAGAAGATATTCGAGGTGAAACATATCGATAAAAAAAACTGAAGTTCAAGACATTCTTATTGTTTTTAGGTACGGACTATATGTTTGTTGTGAACGGAATGCAGGAGTTTGAGCGAGTTGAGGAGGCAGCGGAAGTTGTGGAGGAAGCGAGTACGTTGACTTCTACCAGCGATCACAGTCTAACAAGCAGTTGTAGAAGAAAGGATTTGGTAAAATAACACTTTAATTCGTACTGGAGTTGATTTAACTTCCTGGTGTTTTCAGGTCTGCTTAGCCACCCTCAAGCTTACAAATGTCGAATTTCTACAGCAATCGCGTGGTTATTCGTCTTCAGTTAAAATACAACTCGGCTCTATTCTCAGCGAGGAATGTTCCAGCATCCCTTGGGACGAATTCCAGGTGAGCCAATAAAACGGGAAAACATTGCGACACATTTTTAATCAAGGCATTTGCTACAGGGAAAATTTAGCATGCGATCGAGGGGTTGGTCGGAAAACCCAGAAACCAGCGCTTCCAGCCCCAAAGTGCGACTGCGACTAGATCACACATTGGCTCTGTCTTCTGCCAGCTTATTATCGCATTATGAGCTGACCGACAAAAACAGCATGAAGAAGGTGTTTGTCGAGTGCTTGGTGGTAGAAGTCAAGGATTTGGCCTTGAACTTGAACATGAGCACGGCCACTGGCTTGGCGGACTTTGTTGAAGACGAGATTATTCCTATTCCGTTGCCCTTAAAAGTGAGCTGTGTACCGATTAGGCCCCATATATGGGTTTCTGCTTCTGTGCCACTACAACTACCACTACTATTTTGTAAAAAATTGTTGCAGATTTCTGTGGAGAACGTTAGCGTGCACCTTATAGAGGATAGACCTCCGGTAAATATTACTTCGCCTGGACCAGTCCCTATCGATTTAAATGTTTCTGAGCTCTACATTACACGTAATGAAGATGGTGTTTTTACCGTTACGAATCAACGACCTGCAAATCGCAAATTACGTTCGTCAGAGCAGAGTAAGTAAAATATTTATCACTAAATTGTGTTACCTATCGTTCTTGCAGAGCATCTGGAAACCGAACAGTCGATGTCTAGCAGACTAGCAAACGTGTTATCTGATAACGACGAGCTGAAAAGAAAGATTTATGCGTTTGAACGGATATCCGAGGAAAATCGCTCTCTTAGGAAAGCCACCGACGAGAATCGAGAGGAAAACAATCTGCTCCGAAACCACCTGAAAAATGCCCAAGACGACGTAAGCGAAACACCCCCATTGTTCACTAGGACATACTCATTCACTTCTGCTCCAGGTCAGCAAACTCTTGGAGGAAAAGAGGCGTTTGCTAGATGAGCTGGTAAATCTTCGCGATCAAATGTCTTCCAATAGCAACTGGAAATGGAACTCAAAGAGCTAGCAATGCTGTTTCGACTGTACTAATTGCTGTAGCAATGCTAAACGTTCGCAGTAGTTAGACAGTCAACCTATAGGCTGTAGATAGTTACTTTTCAATTGCGAATCTGGTCATGGTTGGTGTCCCGGTTGTTGTGCAAATAACTACTAAGAGATATTATATCGAAATATTATTTTTTATGTTACCTATATATTTACTCGTTTTATAAATCTATCTGGATGTTTCAATGGTATGTAATAAATGCAGAACATGTACTTTGCATCCCGATCAGATTTCCCATACCTTTCTCTGTATTGGCTTCTGCAGGGCTTTGTTTATAAGCAGATGTTATATAAAAATCTCACTGAGCAATTCCCAAATAGACATCTTTTTGAGATATTCGCTCCGATTGTGATAATTGATTTGGGTGATACCTACATTCTTTTCTTCCCCGAATTTTTTGCTAGTTTGCCGGTTACGTGTCGTTGGAAACTATGTATACAGGGTGATTCAAAATTGGCGTCATTCCTCTGGGAGGAGTACGGAAAAATTAGCACTAGAAATTAACTGTTATTAAAAATTGAGAAATTTGTATAAAACCATATCAGAAGAATGAGAACAATGTTTTTCAAGGTAATCTGCTTAATTAACATTATGTAAAAACCTTCGTAATTATTAAAAACTTCTGTATTCATGGAAATATATAGAGTGACAATAAAAGAGACAAGGATAAAGCCCGTGTCCCATGCATCCGTTTGTACGATGGTACGAAAGTGTTTTTATTGGTTGATCTGTCAATTCGTCCGCCGGCGTACATACAGTTCTGTCTTTAACTGCAAACAAGTGAGTGCCTCTGTAATCACTCTTCTCGTATTCGGTTAATTAACTCCTGCTCAGTTTGTACCGGTGTTCAGTGAACTATGGGTTCAATGTGTCCTTGTGCTGTGTGTATCTTACATACGTGGTAGGAATGTAGCCGGTATTTATTTGATGCCTGGGAAAGTGTGAGCTGTGCAATGTTCTGAGTGGCCCCTGA